CAGCAGCAGTGACTCTGCTTGTACACCTGGGACGCTTTGCTAACATGTCCCATGGGGCAGTTTCAGGTCACGCTTGGTGTCCCAGCTCTAAACAACCCTCTTCCTCCTCTCTGAGGCATTTCCCACAACCACCTCCTCCTCCAGCTCCACAGCAAAGCCCCACAGCCAAGTATGACTGACAGCCGCCGGATAAAAGGCAGGGAGAGCTGCAGAGCTTGTGTCAGCTTTGCTGCGCTTTTGCACTGAGTGGAGCGGGAGAGTGCATTTCTCTCTTCTTCCCCTCTCCTCTCATAAAATTAGGAAAGAGACATATCTTAATGACAGTTTGCTGAAATGTGCATTCCCTGCTGATTTGACATTGGGCAGGAAGAGTGTCTACAGAATCAATTTTTAATAAATGTAAACAACTAAATTATGAATGACAAAAAACATCACTGAACAGTTAAATATTAATCATGTAATTACTTAAATTAATACTTTTAGAGCAACATTGTGATGGTGTTTTACTCATGCGGTGTTGCTGTGCTGGCTGGACGGGTGGGATGGGACAGAACCATGGTGGCCTCTCCATGGTGGGGCTCGGGAGCAGAGCGCTCTGCTTGTGCTTGCCACAGCCCAACTGCTGTCCCACAGGTCCTCTGATGCTGGTGCTCTGAAAGCCTCTGGAACCAGATTTATTCAGAGAATCACAGACTGGTTTGGGTTGGAAGGCACCTTACAGCTCATCCAGTCCCAACCCCCTGCCACGGGCAGGGACACCTTCCACTAGCGCAGGTTGCTCCAAGCCCCTGTGTCCAACCTGGCCTTGAACACTGCCAGGGATGGGGCAGCCACAGCTTCTCTGGGCACCCCGTGCCAGCGCCTCAGCACCCTCACAGGGAAGAGCTTCTTCCTAATATCTAATCTAAATCTACCTTTTTTCAGGTTAAAGTCATTCCCTCTTGTCCTGTCACTACATGCACTTGTAAAAGGCCCCTCTGCAGATTCCTTGTTGGCCCCTGTAGGTATAGACAGGCTGTTATAAAGTCTCCCTGGAGCCTTCTCATCTCCAGGCTGAAAAAGTCCAGCTCTCTCAGCCTGTAACACCTTTGAACAGGGGGGAAAAAAAAAAAAAAAAAAAGAAGGTTAGTTTTTTATAAGAGCTGTCAAGAAAATGGCTAAACTGGCCCAAACCAGAAGACAACCCCCTCCACCCCAAAAATGTTCCTATCCTAAAGTGCCATTAAACCCCCTGACAGTGAGGTGTGAGGTACAGAGCTGTGGCTGTGGTCAGTGATGGTCTCAGGAAAACTTGAGGGTGCTCCAGAGGGAGCTGGGAGTGCATAAAGCCCTGGGTGCTTCTAAGATGGAGTTGGGTGAGTTCATGAAAGAGATGGTGTGGGTAGCAGCAGCCATCGGTAGGTGCTTGCACGTAGCTTCCTCCCCTGCCCAAGAAACTAAGAAAAGAATTTACTGGCGCTCCTGTCCTTGTGGGTTGGCTGGCTGCATTGTTTGTTTTTAATCTAATAAAAGGAGATCTTAATATCATAGTAAAATCAGTACAAAGCTAGAAACTCGCCCCTTGGCATTTTGGCGAAGCATTATTGAAAATGTAAAAAGCCTTTAGCAGAAACAACAGAAGCACAAAGAAATCGTAGAAATAGGATCAAGAGGTTGTGTTTTGGGTGTTGGGAGGAGCGGGGAAGAGCATCCAGCCAAGATTTGAGGTGCTGCTGATACCTGCTAAGCTGGAGGTTGGACACTGACCCTGCTAGGGCTCTGCTCCACCAGGACGTGGTGCAGCAGTGGCCAGGAGCAGAGACCCTGCAAGAGTCGGGGTGGGCACCAGTGCGGAGTGGTGGGGAAATGCTCATTGCTGGGAGGGCAGGAGGAGCAGAGGAGGAGGGATAGTTGGCTGGGAAGAGACCATGCACTGGGAAGATGGTGTGAGCATTGCAGGACCGGCCAGGGAGGTAGAGGCAATAGAAAGGCAAGTTTGCCATCCTTCGGCTTGCAACTATTTGGATTGATCCTAGCTTGGTCTGTTCCCTGTCTGAAGATTAAATCTTGGACAGAAATTTTAAGAGGGTTTTAAAATTAGTGAAGCTTCCCATAACTTTTAGCTCTCATCACATGGCAGCGCACTGGAGCTTCCTGAGCCTGCCAGCCGGACTGGTACCTCATTTCTGATTGAACATTAACAAGTTTGCACAGTGCAAAACCATTCCCATGCACTTGCTGACTTGCCTGCACACATTCTGTTTCCATGCTTCTGCGCACAGCACTTCATTCTGGCTGCCCGAGATCCACCCATTGAGCACACTGGGTCCTGGTGGGGCTTACAGAGCTGCTTCCAGGCACTGTGCTCTTTTCCTTTGCTTCACATGCCTGTTGGGCGAACTTTCCTTTCGAAGCCACCATTTGAGTACACTTTGTGCTCTCACAGTGTTACATTTTCTAATGGGCTTTCTACAGGTATCTTTTATCCTGACAAGAACAGAGAAGCCAGAGCGCTTCCTGCACGCAGCGTTAGAACATGCTGCAGCAAAGTTGGTTCTTGGAACATAGCAGCCCCCTAAAATGTCAAATAAATCCTTAAACTATTCATCACTCTGTTTTTGGGGTGGCAGTTAAGTCTTTCAACACTCTGCAAGTTTCTTTCCCCAGCAGTAATTTTGCTAGTGAAGAAATACAGCTCAGGGCACTCCACAAAGGCTTCAAAATTCATGTTTTGTTTTCATTACCAAAAGAAAGCTTCACTACATTAAAGAGCGGCCCATTAACATTTCCTACCCGGTCTTCCCTGCGCTCTGTCGCTGTTGGCAGACCTTCCCCCATACGCGTGGCAGAGCCCAACAGGCTTCACAGGGCAGTGGCAGCGAAGGGGAGGAGGTTGAAGCCAGCTTATTTAGGTGTAAGATTTCAAAACTTTCAGTAGCCACCCAAATTTATTCAATAAATGTACCGTATTGAACCTTAAGCTGCTGGTTCAGTGTTCCCTCTACTTTCAGTCTAACCCTCACAGCATACTGGCTCATGTGCGTGTCTAAGCAAGTAAATTGTCAAGTTCCTGGACAAGGCAATACATTTGACTATCTCAGGCAAATAGCCCTAAAATAACAACAAAAAAGAAAATAATTACTGGAGGCTTACCGAAACTTGGGATTATATAAATTAGATGTTGCAGCGTGAACTGGATGGTGTTCTCTGATACTGCTGAAAATCTAGAGGTTGAGGAAAATGGTAAACACATTATAATTAGGGTTTAAGGGAGCATTTGGTGATTCTCATAAGTAACTTAGACTAGCTGATTGCTGACATAGACATGAGAGGAAGAAGTAAAAGCTGGAACCTGCTTAAGAGGGCAGGAAGGCTTTTTTAGCTGAATTCAGTGGGGACTTGCTAAGTCCAGTTTCATTTAATATCTCCATACTTAATTTAGAAATAAACAGCACGTTAATTAAATCTGCAAGTAAATTAGCAAGTTAGAAGGTCAGGCTGAGGTGCAGCCTCACAGCCTGAAAACAAATCTCACCATGTTGCATGAATCCACAGCCCACAGCATGTGGGGGGCACAGCTGGAAGCACCAGCACCGGTGGAGGAGCAAACCTGCCCCTTCCCATCGCTGGGGTGATGGAGCAGACCTGCCCCTTCCCATCGCTGGGGTGATGGCACAAACCTGCTTCTTCCCATTGCTGTGGTGGGTGCATGCTTTCCCCTTGCATCCTCTTCCCTCTCTGCTGTGCCAAGAAGCTTGGGGTAGTGCTGCTGGAAGGATGAGGGCAGTGAGGCTGCAGCATCCACCAGCAGTGCTGGCCATTGCCTTTTGGCATGGTTTGGTGAGCTTGTTACCCATGGCAGAGGACAGCCCTGCCCTGGTCTCAGTGAAGTACACAGTGGGATTGCATGACCGAGTCAAAGGGATGGCTTGACAGTGAAATCCAGCAGGCTGTGGGATAGTCTCTCTGGGAAATGGAGGAGACCTCACTGGTAGGGTTATTTAAGACTCGACTTTGAAACATGAGACACTCTGCAGTTGGGAACAATGCTGCACTGTCAGAGCGATGGACTCAATTACTTAATAGGTCGTTGCTGTCTGTCTCCTGTGATTTTCCTTTCAAGAACATATATTCAGCTGGGTTATTTCTCATGGGAAGACAAAGCGTTCTGAAAGAAGCCAGGCATTTGGAGGGGAGAGGCAGGAGGAACAGCAGGCAGGCAGATGCCCCGTTTGCTTTCTGCAGAGCGTGCTCCTCAGGACATGGAGAAAGCTGGAGTGATACAGCTGGTTTTGGTCCTGTAACCAGCTGATCCTCAGGTCTCATAGGTCTTGCTTCCTTTTCTTTGCTTGTAAAAGACGTGCCACATTGCTTTTCTTCTGCCAGACTCTGATCCCCAGGACTGCTGGTGGTGGGACTCTAGTCCCAGAGGCAGTACTGTAGATGCTGCACTGGCCACTGATGGCTAGTTTGCTAAAACATTTAGTGTTGGATGGCCACTTATCCAGCACTGAGGGGTCCATACAGCTCGTCTCCGCGCATGGGCAGCCTCTCCTCTAGCATGGAAAGGTTTTGATGGCGGTTGATCAAAATGACAGCCAAGCTGGAGGAGAAGCTCATGGTCAGGAACCCATCTCTGAGTAACCATTTGGTTCTCCATTAGCAGGACATGTGGGCAGGATTGTATAATGGTGACACATGTTCTCACCAAAATTACTCTGCCAGCCATGGGGAGAGTGTTTTTTAGGCACTTTCCTTGTTGGGGTCATGGTCCTAATTTGCAGCACTGATTTGGGGCAGCACGAGCTCCGGGCGCTTGCTGCTGGTGTGTGCCTGTGCACATGTGCTTCGTGTGGGTGAGCGTGTGGGTGCTCTCTTTGTGTGCTTGTTTGTCACCAAATTAAGATATTACTTCATGCACACTGAACTGATGCAACTAAATTGGCTGTATGTTCTTAAGCCCTGAGGGTGTGATGAGATTTTGTCTCTTTTGCCCATTTCTTTTTCTTTTCTTTTTTCAGAATAAGTCGCCTGTTTAATGGCACAGAGCCTATTGTCTTGGACAGCTTAAAACAACATTATTTCATTGATCGAGATGGTGAAATTTTCCGATATATATTAAGCTTCCTAAGAACATCTAAGCTACTGCTCCCAGATGACTTTAAGGTAAGGAAAGCTATAGTATACAACCTATGTTTTCCTCCTGTTCTGTCATTTGTTTTGGTGCAGGTTGAACTGTGTGCTTGACCTAGGCACACTTAACTAAATGTTGTTGTTTATTGTTAGGATTTTTAGTACTTGTGTATTACACTAGGGATGCTATTATTTAATAAATGGACCGGTAGTTGTCATGGATACTGTAAAAAGTTAAACGATGAAGCTTATGGCTAAACCAGTTTTTCTAATCTAATTGTATTTTCTCACATTTTTAGCTTACTTATGAGGGTATAACAACAATTAAGAAGCAACATCAGCAACTAGCACTTACCAGGGTTTAATGCTCAGGATCTGAAAGAAATGTTTAAAATTTGATACTTAGAGGACTTAAATTGTATACATTTTTTTCTTGTTGGTATAAAAAAGAAACACCCTTAAACAAGCCCAGGAGGATTTGTGTTAGATGCAGATACTTTGATTTCAGGAAGTAAGCTTTTACACAATTTATGAATGTCAAAATATTCTTGGGAGATGGAATTTACTGAGGGCTTTTTCAGGAGCGTTACGTGTTCTTTATGAAATAATGGTGGTGGTTGTCACTTTGCAAACCCTGATTGTTTCTAAAAGCTCTCCTCTGGAGAGCACTTGGCTTTGCACTTGTGAAACTTGCAACATTGTCATCCTTATGTATGAAAATTAGAAGACAAAAGTGTCCAGACTGTAGATGACAAGATTCAACAAAAGCACTAACTCCAGGATGAAATGATGAATAAATTGGGATGGCAGTGGAGATCTGCTCAGTTAGAGGATGTGGAGCATTGATGGAAAAGAAAGTTCTTGTGGCTTGCAGTGGGATTTCACTTTGCATGTTGGCCTAGGTAGGCAAGATAATTTCACCAGTCATGACTGAGTCCGGATTTGTGGTTGCTCAGGTGGCGTTAGCTTTGGAGTACAGCTGATCCTCGTGCTGCAAACCTCTCCTCAGCCATTCTTGCCTAAGTTGCAAGTACAACTATATTTGACCTCAGAATGTGCCATGGGAGAACACACCTAATCCCAAGGCAGGGAGAAATTTTGACATTTATGGATGGTTTTGAAGCTCCAGCCCAGAAGGGCTGCCCTGGCACTGCCCTTTCTGGAGAGTGGCATGCAGGATGGGGAGAGGGGCCTATGGGTTGGGGTGCACGAGGCAGAGTGAGAGCCAGAGCACTGAAGGGCAGATGCAAGAAAAGTTCTTTGCAGATAGGTGAGAGAAAACACATGGGTGGGAGTGAAGCTAAAGAGCAGACCAGTCCTGTGGATTGTAAGATGGATCAAGTTAAGGAGGGTGGGTGGAGAAGCAGTAAAGGTGAAAGGCCAGAGAGATACTTTAGGGGCAGCATTTTGGACGATCTGTTGGGACAAAAAAGCATGAGAAAGGAGAGCAGAAGAGATGTAATTCAAGCTGATCATGGCTTCAGCTGGCATCCAGATTTCAGAGGTGCTGTGAAACAAAACCAGCAGGATTCAGAAAGAGCCTGGAGGTGAGAGTGCTGGTGGGTGCCAAGGGCTTGTCTGCACAGTAAGCCCTGGCAGGGCTGGGAGAGACTAAGGAGAGCCGGCGCTGTGCCCGGGCTCAGTCCGTTGTTCCAGACCATCTCTTTGCATAGGGTTAACTGTATTTTATTTAGTTCCTCCCTGGGAGAGCTTTAGAGCAAACCCCAGGCTAATGAGGGCTCAAGAACAAAGCAAAGTATTGCTAGGTAGGGAGTAACTAAATAAAAATGCATAGAAGAATGTGCTGCAAAGCTATATTAAAACTGCATTGTAAACGGATTTGACTTCACAGAAATTGTGTAATTTTACCAGCATGATTAAAGTGACAGAAGACAATAATCAAAGGCAGCAAATGGAATCACTTGGTGTTTCTAAATGCAAAACTCTATTTAAAGTATAAAACCTGACAGGTTTTCCAGTGAGACTTGCATTAAATGTTCTTTATGTCAAACAAAGCATTATCAAGTGTTTTGAATATTTATTAGTTTTTACTCCTTAATTTAATCAAGCAGTTTATTAGCCTTAAGGTTTAGCCAAGTTGCTTTTCAACTTGAATTGCTGCTCAGATGGTTATTTTGGAAAGTTTGGAATGTTAGTACCACACCAGCATTATTGTGTTTGCTATTTAAGTGTTGTTTTCAGACTAAGTTAACACTGAAATGCAGAGAAAGTGGGGTATGTGTTCCAAGGCTAGTGATTCTTTATTATCAAGTCTGACTGGTGTGTTTACAGTGAATATTAATTATACTTCCAACTACTAATAAGCCAGAACTTGAAAGTGTTTAGTGTCTGACAGGTCTCCCTGCTGAAAGCAACACTAATAGTTCATGTAATTTTCCTGGGTTTGGGGGATTTCAAGCCACATGAAGAATGCTGAGAAATTACTCTGAGCTGTTTGGCTCAATCCTCCTTCACAGACAGCCTGTGCCAACCGAGGTGATGGCGAGCAGCTCCTCCTCCTGCATTGGTTCGGAGACCTGCACGTGGGACCATGACATCTTGAGCAACAAATGTCCTGGGGCAGAGCGTGGAGCCAGCACCCCCTGGTCTGCCATGCTGCTGGGTTAATGGGTGGCTGGCCCTATAGCTGCCTCTCTGCAGCCCACAGTTTGGGCTGGAAGGGACCTTAAAGCTCATCCAGTCCCAACCCCCTGCCATAGGCAGGGACACCTTCTACTAGAGCAGGTTGGTCCAAGCCCCATCCAACATGGCCTTTCTGCCTTGGTCTTCCCCCCTCCATCAGAGGTGTTTCCCCAGGACATTTATGAGCAGCATCTGTCCCCTTCACTGCCAGTACATAACTTCATGCAAAACCAGGACTCATCACACCTAGTTACTTGGGACTTAACACCTCCCTTAGAGATCATCAAACAAAACCAGACATAGGCAATGTGTATATTATTGCTCCATCTTAAGGAGGGGAGGAGTACTAAATACACAGGACATCTGAGTTTTGTATGTATTATAGAGGTCACTTGTAGCACCAGAACCACAGGGCCAACACACTAATTTATTATTGTTTTAAAATCAGTGCTTGCATCTAATTTTAAGTGCTCTCAAACTGACCTTAGCAAATGGTACAGTTGTCATCGTAGAAGTGAGCAACTTTCTCTCGTAGCCAGGAGTCAGATCTTCACAGCACTAAAATATAAAAGAAACATTGAGTCAGGATGACAGTTTGCTGTTTCATGTAACAAAGAATAACAAGTGGAAAAAACAAATGGCAGAAAGAGCCATTCCAGCCTGTTCAGGAGTCAACATTAGGTACAGAACCAGAAGACCTCTTTAGTACTGAGAGAACAGCATCAGGTTCACAGGATACACTGTTTTACGGTTTATGTTGGCTGTCTCTGCGTATAGTTAGCTGATCTTTGTTGACCCGCTGGCACTGATGTGGCAACAGCAGCACAACTGGCTTTGCAGTCACACTTCCCATCTCCTCCTCAGCAGTATGTCATGCTTGTCAGAGGTGACTGTGGAATCAACCAGGAAAAAAGCTTTCCTACCAAATCACAAGCAGAAAATTATTTTGTGAAAGGCAAAAAGCTGTGTCTTTGAAAGATCTGTTTACCTTTCCTATGAGAGCTAAACGTCCAGAAGTCGTGGCTGGGGAAAGCCTGTGTACATTCCACCTGGCTGGCTGCTCCCTCTTCCAAGTGACCTGATACAACTCCCTCACTAGTTCCTCCAACAGCCACAACAAGTTGAAGGCTCGTGGTAGCTGATGAAGGTTTTCGTGAATCACAGCCTGGTTTGGGTTGGAAGGGACCTTACATCTCATCCAGTTCCAACCTCTGCCACAGGCAGGGACACCTTCCACTAGCGCAGGTTGCTCCAAGCCCCTGTGTCCAACCTGGCCTTGAACACTGCCAGGGATGGGGCATTCCAATTTCTGTGGCACCTTACAGCAAAATCAGAGGCTGGTCTGTCCATCTCCCCTTTCAGTCTAGCAAGGAGCAATCTGCTCATGAGCAGGGACCTTGGCTGGTGGGAATTACCTTTGGAGTTAAGTGATTTTCCTTGGCTAAATGCAGATAGCTTCATTAGCTACCATACATGCTGCTTGACTCTGAGCTGTGCTGCCACAAAGTGCAGTCCTGTTAAGAAGCTGGGAAGTTAGGGAAATAATCCTTAGAAAAAATGGGAGAAACATCATTAGTCCCACAGGACAAGAAACTCCTGGATACTGTACAAAATCTGCTGTGGGATGCTGTCTTGAGCTCAGCAGGACTGCACTGACATGAGGGCTGCAGCCTCTGTAAGAGAGAAGGCGCAGAATCTGTGTGCGTCTGTCAGCGTATGCCTGAGACAGAAGCTGTACCAGGCTGCTCTGAGTTTCAATGAGACTGTGTGCACTTTGCCACTGTGCTAGGCAGTTAATGCCCTGTAGCTACTCCTGTGCCTGCCTCAGTGAAATGTGCCTCTTCTGGATAGGTCTAGGAAGATTTGTGTCTGCGTTTGCCTTTGATAACTTATCAAAACTAGCAGCATGGAAATGTTTTCTTGCAGTTCCTGTGGCACTTCCATGGCGAGGTCCCTTGTGGGTTGAATTCTACTTCACATTTCATGTTAAACTTTTGCAAATCATCAAGGTAGGATTTTTATATCTACAGTGCAAGGGTGGAAATAGCTATGTTGGTATTACCTGGGCATCCTGAGTATCCTTTGTAGACAATCTAGAGCTGGTCATTGCTTCCAGTCAGGTCTCAGATGCACAGTACTCTGAGCAGTGTATAAGACCTGAATGAGAAGATTGTGTAGTTAGCAGTGTGGTGAGTCCATTACCCTGCCCAAGCACAGGCTTCAGATAGCTTGACCTGCACAGTGTGAGCCACTCACTCCTTGTTTCTGGTCTGGCAAAAATAAGAATCTCTTCCCTCCCTAAATACATGGTCAAATGCCTGAGTGGTGCCCTAGTCACTCATTGCAGAAACACCAGCAGTCTGGTACAGGGTCAGGGCAGTGGGGCAAGCTGGGCTGGTGGTGGCTGGGTTGAGCAGCGTGTGGTATGTGCAGGGGGGGCCACAGAAGGTGAATTTTCTCTTGCCTAGCAGAAGATAGACACTTTTTTTATCCCCTCTCCTTGTTCAGTGCAACAAATTCCCTTTATTGCTACTGTCTGATAATAGGTGCCCAGACTCCCTAACGCTGCATGTGTGTTGCTTCTCTGCACCAGCACACCTCTGATTCCCAGCTTCTGCTACAAGCCCTTCTTCCAGCCGCAGAACCCTTTCCAGCATGTTTGCATTCAACCCAAGCGTGGAACGGATACAGAGTGTCTTACTTTAGAAACTAACCCAAATATCTTGGCTTAACCCAGGCAGTTGTGACCAACTGCACACCTCATCCCGCAGAGCACGTGATGCACAGGCACAGCCCCAATTTCCACATAGCCGTCTAAAGCGCGGCTGTATCCTCTGGGAACAGTAGTGGATGAGCTGTTTCATTTGAAACCTGGTCATGTTATCACAAAATCATATCAGAATATAAAATTTATCTTGTTTATTTAGGTATTATTTAGGATAAATGGTGGCTAGCAGGAGTCACTAAGGGCTGCATCTGATACGGTGGGCTAACAGCTGGCCTGGGGGAGGCAGAGGTGGTGTGATGCTGGTTTTGTTTGCTTTATGGCTTTGCTGTTTTGGCCTGGAGGTGCTGGACCATTGAACTCCTGTGATTCAGGATACTGTCAGCCTAGTCCAAAGTCCAGTGAAGTCAGTCAAAAAGACTCTTGTGACTGTCATGAGCTTCACAGGCAGCCTCAGGAGCATTGTACCTCTCTCTTCTTCCAGAAATAAAGGACTGCTTTTTATAGTGCTATACGATCTCCTCAAGGTTTTACTGTTGAGTGTTCTTAGCACATATTCATTTGATTGACCTTACAAAAAATGTGTTATTTGTAGTGCCCATGAACACAGGTAGGCTAAACCTAGTTTTTCAGGACCTGCTGAAAACAGCGAGACTGTCCGTGATCTTCAGTAAGCACTACATGCTCCTGTTCACTCTCCAGAGTTAAATTTTTCCTTAGCATTGCATGTTTTCTTTTGCTAAAAAAGATACATGGGACCAGCAGATGCCCAGTGAATGTTTGATAGGCCCCTGCACACAGCTCTGTAATGAACAGTTAGGTGGTGAGCTGTGTGTCCCACACGAAGACTTCATAAGGTTTAGGGCAGGGGCTTTATAATTTAGGCTGCTAATCTCTGTAGGTTTAAACTGATGCCATGCTCAGGGAGCTTCCCTGGTGGACACAGAAAAGCAGTAATGGTTCAGCACAGAGTGCTGATTTTGAGGAGGGGAGAAAATACCATCCGTCAGGGAATGAAGCTTTGGGCTGATGGTGTCTTACCTGAGATCAGGTGATGCAGCCAGTCTCCACGCCTCTTCATCTGGCCTGTAACCAGCTCCAGTTGTTTGCAGCATGGTTTCTCAGTTTGAGCGCGCTGCTTTCTGTAGGATTTCTTCTTTTAATCTTCCTGTTGTTTTTCATCTTCCAGCTACTTCCTGTGTGTTTGTTGCCCTCATTTCTTCCGACTTGCCTCTTATCCCTCTTCCCTCTCTGCATTTTCTCTGGTCCTTTTTTCTCCCTTAGCAGTGTGTCTATTGTCCCAGCCTTAACAGACATCAAAGAGATGTAAAGGGTTGGATGTCCCTTTTGAAACGCGATAACCTTACCAGTGTCAGTGAATATTCATACATCTCCAGGCTGTAGGCAGCCCTGGGGAGAAGGAGCACCTCTCCACTACCAGCCGTGGGTCTGTGTGCCAAATTTGAACAGAGCTAACTGCTTTGGTTCAGTAATATCCTGCAGCAGCAGATTTTACAGGTTAATTCCAAGCCATTATGAAGAGTCGCATCTTTTTGTGCTGCATGTTCATTGGCCTTTGATTTCCCTGCTTCCCCAAGTCCTGGAGCAGCAGCACTGCTGTTATTTTTCATGTAATATTGGTGCCCATTTCTTGATTACGTCTTGTGATGCCATCCTTCCCAGTCCAAACTATTTCAGTCACTTCACTCTTGTGATTTTTCTTTTTATTTCACTGCAGTCTTTACATCCAGGTATGTTGACCTGTAACGTGCTCCAAAAAGTCACTGAGCATACCTGTGGTGCAGCATTTCCATCTGTAGACAGGCCTAAGATCCAGGAAAGCAAGTGACAGGTCTTTGCAGAAAGGAGCTGGTGCTCTTGTTGCTCTTCTTCCCTTCAGGAGGCTGAGGGAGGCGGTGGGTCCAGTGTAAGCAACCTGTCCACCTGGTGCTCGCCCCTCTGTTCCTTCTCTGGCTTGGTGTGATGGGCTGCTGACACCCTTTGTCTTATCATACTCAGTAGCTGAGGTGGAAAGATCTGTTGGAGATCTGATGCAAAGTTGTTAATGAAGATGTGCAGAAGACATCTCAGTCAGTGAACTGGAATTTGCATCAGATAGATAGGTAATTTGAATTGCCCAAAGCCCAAGTGAGGTGATGGACAAATGGCTGGGAAGACCTGTTTCTTTTAAGTTGTTGGGGTGGGGTCGTCACTACCTCTGTATAATTTGCCAGGATCCAAAGCAGACTTTCAGTGTATGAATAATCATGAAATGCAGAGAGCAGCTGCTGTAGCTGAATTTCAGACTCAGCAAACTAAGGTGAGAAGTGAAGCTGAACTGACATCTGCATCTTGTTACGTGTGTGAGGGGTGACAGCGAAGTCCAAGATCTTCTGTTGCAAGATCAGAAGTGACTATCTGAGGCCAAGAGTGAAGATTAGGGCTCGGGACATCTCTTGCATCAGGAGGCTTTGCTTAGTGCAACCAGTTATTTTGATTTCTTAATCCAAAAGTAAAGCCTGCTGGCATTGAGCTTATGGGATGATAAATGAACAGATAATTCACGGCAGTGGAAACTTCACAGTCAGCTCGAACAGATTCACCACTAGCACAGTGTGGTTTTCTATGTAGGTGTTAAGATGAAGACAGAGTATTTGGGTACCTGTTACCTTTGCACTCTTGCTGACAATACATAAGCCTAAGCAGGTCAAACAGGAACAATACTCATTGCTAAAAGAGAACTATATAAGCATTTCTAGTTTCTCTCTCTCCCTCTCTCTCTTTTTTTTTTTCCCCAGGACTTTAATCTTTTATATGAAGAAGCAAAGTATTACCAGCTGCAGCCAATGATTAAGGAACTTGAGCGATGGAAACAAGAGAAAGAACAAAGGAAACATTTCCAGCCTTGCGACTGCTTGGTCGTAAGAGTGACTCCCGATCTGGGGGAGAGAATTGCATTGAGTGGGGAGAAAGCTTTAATAGAAGAGATCTTCCCGGAGACTGGGGATGTCATGTGCAACTCTGTGAATGCCGGCTGGAACCAGGACCCTACCCATGTTATCAGGTTTCCTTTGAATGGATACTGCCGGTTGAACTCAGTGCAGGTAATGTAATGGCCTTTCAGTGCTGGCTCATCTGTTTGCTGGGGTGGGTTTTTTAGTATTTCTTGTTCAATTATATGCAGATTATTTGCTTCTGCCTGATTACCTTCAGTGCTTATACTGCGAGGAGACATTTTCTGCCTGGTGAGATCACAGCCTTTCAGGTTTTCCTAAGTCTAAGCAGAAAAATAGATTTAGATTTTGTGTATGTTAGTGCCATGCTGGTCTCATAATGGTGTTAGACTGATAAATGCTAATTTTTTCATCAATGTATAGCCTGCAGCACAGGGTTTTTTTCCTCCAAAGTGCCCCCAGGAAGAAAGAGAGAGTTCCAAAAACTACAAAAAAAAAATCTCCACACCATTTTATAGAAAATGCAACAATGTGTAAATGCATAATTTATGTCTCACTCATAATTAAATGATGGTGCCTGCGGGATGGACTTAAAAAAATTGATCTCTGCACTTTTTTTTTTTTCAAAAGGATGTTCTATAAAAATTGCCCAGAGTATTTTAAACAAAATGTATTTCATTTTATGCTCAAGAGTTTTGACATTAGGCTTAAAATTAAACACATGAAACAAAAGAAGATAACTGGACAGATAGGTGGATGGTAGCAGAAATAAATCTGTGGCTTTTGTTTAGGTAGCAGCCTTATGGACAAGAAATGCCATTTCACAAGGGATCACCACCGCTGTGGTCAAGGCCTTGGTTTTGTAGTTGTCCTTGGGCTGCAGAGAAGGAATGGTGTTGGCGATGCTGTTAACTTGTGCCTTACTCAACAAGGGCTAAACAGCTCTCAGTTTTCACATGTATGCCTTTAAAATATGCTGCAAATACTGTGGAAAATGAAATCAACCTGTGGGGAGTATTTCCAAAGTTACTGTCTGTCACAGACAGGCTGTGGCTGCAGATGTTAACTGGGCTGTGGGAAATGCTCTAGTGTCCTTGATAAACTTCCCTGTGGTCAAATACCCTCAGAATTGCTGGCCCATGGGACTGGCTGGCCAGACTGTGAAGACCAGTAAAGGTGGATGCAGTCATTTTAGCAATGCGCATTTGACACTGACACCTCCCTCCCTGGGGCAGCACTCCCTGGTGCTCCCTGCACTAATAATGCTTTTGTCTGAAACCAGTCTAAACCCAGCTGGTTTGTATGATGTTTTGGTTCAACTCTCCCAGGTGTTTTGTTTGGTTGAACTTTGATCAGGCTGATGCCTGTGGTTGATTTTGTGCAGTCCTTTGCAATTTCACATTTGGCAAGGTTGAGAGTGGGCTGCCCCAGAAGTAGAAGGGCTGGAGGTGGGTCAGAGGCAGGTCCATTTGCTGGCAGTGGGAATGGTGATGAATTCATCACTGTGCTGGGTGGAGAAGGGAGCAGCTGCACTTCAGCTAGGGTAAGTGGATGGGGAAGCGGGTTCATGTCTCAGCCACTCTGTCCTTGTGACACAGTTACATGCATGAAAGAAATTAGAATAACCACAGCAATAAAGGGCCATCGATGGGCTCAGCACTGCCAGCAGCCGGCCAAAGAGCTGGATGCCCACCTGGCTGAGCACTTGGCTTTGGGTTAGCCTAAGTGGTGTGTAGTAGAAGCTGAATGTTAATTACTGTTAATATTTGAATGTGTTCTGAATTCAGTCAGAATTCAGACAGAATCAAAGTGTCTCTTCACAAGTCCATGTTGTGTTTCTGTCAGTCCACAGGATAAATAATAATACTAAATTACATCATTTTACTAAATTACATTATTTTACTATATAATTAATAGAAAGTGTTTCCAAATACTTTCTGCAAAATGATGCATTTCTGAGACCAAAGGCTGATGAAAGCAGCAGCTAATTATCATTGGCTCTGCAGGATTCTGGTCAGCACAGAGGTACTGCCCCTCCCCTTCCCAGGGTTTTTTGGCAGAAGAGTATTAAGGCAGAAGTTGGAAGTACAGGGAAGCAAATACACAGACTTAAGAGAGATGGGTTGGGAGGGGAAGTGGGTGGAAGAGCTGAATCATTTCCAAAGAATCTCAAAGAGCGATGCAGTAAGTCTGCTGCTTGCTCTGGTACACGCTTTTGCCTCCCTGTGCCCTGCTGAATATAATTTGTGGCAAAATTGCAATATTTTAAAATTCTTCCTATCTTTGGAAGGTATTTTCATTAAATGCTTTGTGTCTAGAGCTGTGCACTTCAAACAAAGAATGTCAACAGTGAGTAGGTAGTGGAAGCCAAAAAAATACAGTAGCTCTTAATTTAATGCCCATTTGTTATTACTAACAGATATACAGTTTTCTTAAGACTGACACTGTTTGTTCAAGTCCTTGCAACAGATTCTGGTGGGATGCGTGAGCTTACCTTAGAGAAAATGCTGTGGTGCTTGTTTATGTTGAGCATTGAGTCTTCATAATTAAGAATGTATTTGTTAGCATTCTGCAAAATTTAAATGAGATGCATTAAGTGAAAATGTCGTGTTTCTGCTTAGTAAACACTGCAACAAAATCAGATGTGCTCAGAATACTGGGAGACAGAGTATATTAAATCATGGAATCACAGACTGGTTTGGGTTGGAAGGGAGCTTAAATCTCATCCAGTTCCAACCCCCTGCCATGGACAGGGACACCTTCCACTAGAGCAGGCTGCTCCAAGCCCCTGTGTCCAGCCTGATCTTGAACACTGCCAGGGATGGGGCAGCCACAGCTTCTCTGGGCAAACTGTGCCAGCGCCTCAGCACTAACAAATCCTCTAATACTGTGTGTCCCACGTACATACGAGAATCACAGCTAATGCTCACTTTCTGATGTACTCTCTTTGGAGGTTTACAGGACAGAAGCTCCAATTTGATTCAGAGACACTAGTTTCTCTCTGTCTGTATCTTTCCTTTGGAAGAAGTAATGTGCATAGAACCAAATGCCGTAAATGGCATTTAAATCTGTTCGTGTTTAACATGATGCTAAGTCTTGTGCATGCACCAGCACATACAAACCAGTGCTCAGCATACATGGAAGCAGCCTTTAGGAGCCTTTCTCCACAGAGCTGAGTTCAAGGTTACACTTAAAACACTACAATATTTAAACATTCTCTGCATTGTTTACAGGATTTGGCCTGGTTTGTTTCTTGCTGAGGTTTTTAAGGCTAGTCGATAGCCTGCAGTCTAGTCCTTTGAGCACTTAGGTAGTAAAACCGAATCACTTTGTTCTGCGTGCGGTGCTCTAAGGTGTAACGTCTAGCTGGACTGTGTGTTCGCAGAGGGCTGGCTTAGGGAAGAGGAGTTCTATGTTAAAAGGCAGCCTTCCATAGCTTTGGATGGAGGCAAGCCTAGGGCGCCCCTGTGCTTGGTTTGTCTTACAAGGAAATTGATTTGAGAAAGTTTTTATCAAGGATTTTGAAGTCACATCTCTCTCTGAAATCTTACCTGTCAATCCTCTGGTTTGCTATCCAGGTAAATGGAAGCAGCCTCCTGTCCTGTAGCTGGGTTGCCTCTCATATTCATCTTGCCAGCTCTAGGAATGTCAAATACAGTCAAAATACTCTCCAGCCTGTGGAACAGCAGTCTGATGATGTCTCACTCCTCCTTCCCTCTCCAACTCCGGCTTTCCTCTTTCGCTGGTACAAGTGTTAGTGTACACACCCCATTTCTGTCCTACAGACAGCATACAGCCTGGGTATGCTCCCAGATAAGGGAGTTGTAAGCATCTTAAATACATTTTGATAACCCACTCTCTCCCCTCTTCTTTTAATCTCCCCAGGTTCACTTTTCTACCATACACTAGTAGGCTTTTTTGATCTTTCAGTTCCCATGGATTAAAACCAGCAAATGCTGCTGCCGTGGTTTGCATCGCACCATGGTACCACCTCGGATACAGTTGTCCGTGGCCCTTAAAGGCTCCAAACTGCTGTTTCTGGAGAAAGCAAAGCCAACATACAGGCCAAGAAAAGAGTGCACTAAGAAACACACCATGATCTTGCACGGTCTGTGTGTCAGGGCAGCAATCTGGTGTGCAGGTCTTTAATGGTCAGCTTGAGCCATGAAATGTAAGACTTGGTAGTACTGCTGTAGTAGGTGTAACTGCTACAGTGCTCACAGGGCTAGTAAAACCAAAAAAGAAATAAAAGTTCTTTCTGTCATGTAAATGTGTAAAGCGTATGAGTTACCTCCATCTGAAGGTGTGTCTATTGCTTAAACACTTAAACACACTCAGGTTGAGTGATCCAGAGAAGCTGTGACTGCCCCATCCCTGGCAGTGTTCAAGGCCAGGCTGGACGGGGCTTAGAGCAACCTGCTCTAGTGGAAGGTGTCCCTGCCCATGTCAGGGGGTTGGAACTGGATGAGCTTTAAGGTCCCTTCCAACCCAAACCAGTCTGTGATTCCACGATTCTATGATCAAGTTAAGTGGCTTAGTCCCTTTTCTGTCCCTAGTCTGTCGCGGTGGGCAGCAGTCAGCTGGCACAGGGGGATGGTGGTGTTGCCAAGTTCATCAGGTTTAAACAACCACCAGGTTCAGTTCTTACCGGAGCGGGCCCATGTGCTGTGGCAATGGAAGCGGTGCCTTGGGCGCTTACAGACCAGTGCAGGCTGATCCCCTTGATGGCCACCAGTAGAAGAACCATTTTTCCAGGCTGCTGCCCTGGACCTGGGAGAGCCACCACTGGGCGGGAGGCTGCACGGCAGCTCCTCCGGTAGATCTGGCATGGCAGATCTGCTGAAGGTGGACCTGGCATCTGCTCTGAGAAAAGTCTGTGTGCGTCCTGCTCTGCTGGGAAACCATATATCAACATGCTTACGCATGTGAAAACATGGCCCTGAACATATTGCCAAGATCAGTATATCCTAGGGTAATGTGCTGTGTGACAGCCTCAGAAATTAAAGTTGCCTCTGGGTTCCTTAAATTCATGCATCTAAATTGGACCAACTTTTCTTTAGGAGAAAGAAAACACGTATTTGGGCAATACAAATTAACTTCTTTCTTGAGCCAGGACGTTTCCTGGTTATCCATGCCTTGGCTCCGCATCCCATCCCCGCCATGCTTTCCATGCACATACAGCAGCACTCCCTTCCAGCGAGGGAACACCACAGCTGTGATGTCCGTGGAGATCTGGCAGAAGTGTCGCTCAGCCTCCTAAGACATTTTCATCTGCCGAAGAAGAGCTGAGACGTTTTCAGCCCCTTTCTGTAAGCCTGTACGTATTACTAATGAGTAATGGGTGCTTTTTATTACGACCTAAACCTGATGTTGCTTTCTGCTAGCAGTAAGAGATAACATCAATATCACCACAGTCCAGTATTTTACTATATAATGTACTAAGCTGCTCTGCAAAGTGCTTATTTGTTTGATTAATTTTTGTTTTCTGCAGAGGTTTGCTGAGAGCGAGACTTTAATCACAGTGTAGTCATTTAACAATAACTTCAAGAATTATAGCTGAATAATTTCATTCAACGAGGACTCAAAAGACTAAATCGATCATTTAGATCCAGTCTTCCTGAATGCTTTTATCACTAAAATTTGCTAAATATTAACCTGATTTTTTTTCCCCCACATTGCAGGTGCTCGAAAGATTATTTCAGAAGGGATTTAATGTGGCAGCTTCATGCGGTGGTGGGGTGGATTCCTCTCAGTTCAGTGAATACGTGCTGTGTCGTGAGGACAGACGACCACAACCCACCCCAACAATCAGAATAAAACAGGAACCCCTGGACTAGACCCTACCCCTGCTCCTTTGTAACCGTAGAAGTGTTTAGTAGTCCCTGATGTGAAACACTAAGGATTCGCAAAACAGTATTAGCAAACAGATTTTGACTTTTAAGTTGCCAATTAGTGGTATTTTGAAACTACCTGTCACATAGCCAGCCATGAAATGCATTTGAAAAACTAGTTGTCCGTTCTTCCCAATGGAATTCCTGAGTATGCTCAGCATACCGGGCCTGCTGGGGATGTACTTTGGGCTAAACAGCGGTGGTGGTGGCGGAAAAGGCAAAGCTTCATCAATCCCTGACCCTAGGTTGGACTTGTGAAAGAGCAATTAAAGCAATTTGAATAGATCAGCAGCAGAAGCTGTTGCAATAGCCTTTCCAGCCATACCCCACTGCTGTGACTCATGGAAGCAGGAGCCTCCAAGAGGAAGACGGTTCCCTAAAAACTGCACTGAGTTATCTTCCCTGACTGCCGCACCTCCTTCATATCAGATGTGGTTTACACCTCCATACATGACGTGACACTTCTGTGATTGTACTCGCTCATACTAGCAAATGGCTTATTTTTATACTACATTTCCAACTGAAACATCTCCCTGTGGACAGACTCCAGAATCCAAAAAGGACCAATTTGTAGTCAACTGGTGCTCTGTACTAAAAAACCCCACACAAAACAAAAAAGTGACAAAAAATTTGATGAGGCCAATTATGGCAATGTTTGCAAAAGTAGGGATCTGTAAGCACAAAACAAAATGCCAGCTGCCCTCCCACGAGGCTCACATACCCAACATGGAGCTGTAGTTCTCTTAAAGCCAGTCTTGTTTTGACTCAGAAACTGTTAAGTTCGGCAACATCAAAGCAGTGTGGTTCTGCCAAGCAAGCTCTGCCACCCCTTGTTAATCATTTACTGACCATGTTGTAAGCCCACATTTAGGAGGAAACGTTAAGAATTTTGGACAAGCCCACTATTTTATCTTTTTTCCCCCCGAAAATTACTATTTGTAATATTGCAAAATCTCTACTGTCCGATGAAAGCCGGACACGCTTGTTTAAATTGGTTTCCATCTATTACTTCATTATTAAAACACGGTTTGGTAGCTGCCCTCTACCTGTAATTTTGTCTATCAAAGCAGTCTGTCTGCAGGAGGTGACTGCTCCTTCCATGAATTGGTATCAGCTCTGACTTGCAGGGCTTCCTAACTCAGGAGACAGCACCGGGTCTGCAGGTGCAGGGTTATAAATAGCATTCTGCTAAATCCTGTTGATTGCTGTTTGGCATGATTGGGCCCTCAGTAACTAATTCATGTGTTAATCACAGTTTAGTTTCTCCCACATTAATTTATAGAATACTGTTGTAGATGCTGAATTTTAATGAAACTCTTTTTAGATGCGTAAATGCAGCCAGATAGAACAAGGGATAGAGTATGAAGTGGTCAAAAATTCCTTGATGCCAATTGATTACAATCAGGCCAAATTAAAAAATCATGTTTAAGACTAATATTTTCAACAGCAGTGAGCTGTACTGGCTGCCCAAGGGACAATCTAGGCAGGGGTCTAATTTTTGGAAGAGGGCTGGATACCTATCCATGGAAAATCAGACCTCTGCAGGTTTCCTCATCTTGGTTACCCAACTCAGCAATCTCGTAGCTGGTCAGTGTTGGCCTGCTAACTTAGCCAAACAGTTTGAGCACATCTGTCTACTTCAAAAGAGTTGTAAAGTTGTTTTATTTTGTGTTTTTATACTTGTATGACATTCTAAAGTTGCTAGGCATTGCCATATTTGAATATATGGCACAACATTCACCTTTGTATGTAAGATATCTGTAGAATTGTATATTATACATTTAATATTGTAAAGAACTTAACGTATAATTGTCATGTATTTGTGTATGCACATTTCTTATACAGTACTTCATGCCATAAACATTTCTGTAAAGTAAATGATCAAAAATAAGCAAGTAGGGTGGAACACTCACTGTATCTCCCATGTTGTTTGAAAGACGTGAGAGTTTTCAATTGCATCTCCTCTGGCCTTTTGCTCCATTCAGCTCGATGTAGCCATGTCTTACAAAGAGGAAGAAAAAGTGTTTTATTTATTACTTTCATACATTGAGTTCACTTTGAGTTCAAAGTATCCTTAAATAAGCCGTTTAGCTTGTTTTAATCCTACATACACTTATGTCCTGCCCTCCTGGACAGGGAGGCTTGTGCTTGGCTGGTTTTTCTTCAGATGATTGGTGTTTTTTACTGTGTGTTTTTTTAGAGCTCAATAAAGCAGCTCCAGTGCTTTGGGCAGCTTGCTAAGGTGGCAGTGGAAAGGGTTCCAGGCTGCGCCAGCCAAGTTAAATGTGAATTTGACATGGAAAGGTTGAGCCATGACATCACAGCATTGACTGCAAAATAGCACTAAGGCAAGGAAGACATGTGGAAACAATTACTTGGTTAGAAGAAATATGCCTTTAAAAAAAAAAAGTTAAACTAGGACATGTTCTTTTAGTTAGTAACTTCAGGTCACTTATTTAAAGTTTATTACAGTTTCATTTATGTCCTTTTTTTACTTATTTCCCTATATTTTTAGGCAGCAATAGCAGCAAAAACTGATTTGAATTCTTACTTCTGGCCTTAAACCATAGCAACATAACTTAATTAAGAACATTGCTCAGCATCACTAGGACGGGTTTTAGAACACCCCAGCAAGCCCAGCGAAGGCTAAAAAGCAAATGCAGCCAGGCTTCTCTCCCAATTTGACTGCACAAAATGGTCCTAATTCTCCATTGCTGAGCACTGAACCTGTGGCTGGAAGAACCCAGGTCTTCACTAGCACTTCCTGTATGCTTCCCACTGCTCCCAAACCTTGGAAGGAAAGCAAGAGGGAAAATGTTCTGTTGTGCTTCTCGAACTGACAACTGCTGAGTGCATTCATTTGCCCTATTAACGGCATCAAGGTTTGATGACAATTTTATTAGATGTTTGACGAAGGATAAGGATCAGCACAACAAAACATTGAAGTATTTGGGTTTAATATTTCTTTGTGGGTATTCTGTTAATATTTTAATGCAAAATGTTCCTGAACAGTGCTCAAGAACGACGAGACAATGTGAAAAATTCCTGTTTGATAAATTAATACTGTATGTCACTTGATGTGTTACTTTAGTAAATTGTTTTATTTCTTTACAAAATAAGTACAAATAAGGGAGTATGTTTTCACACAAATTGGGGGTATTTACGAGTATGTACAGAAATCATCAAAATAACGTAATTCTAATAAACACAAGGCCTTTATAAACAATATGTACAAATTATCAATACATTTAAAACATAATTTTACACTTTCTGGCCTTAAATACCTTATGAATAATCTTTTGGCTAAATAGCAGCAGTATAAATTTTCTTCTGCTTTTCATAAACCTTAAAAAATAATTAAAACTTTTGTTTTTAAAACTATTGGACAAATAGTTCTATTTGTGCTTTTGCTATGGTTTCCCCATCCAAAAAAAAAAAAAAATATTGCCTCAAAAAAGTGGCAAGCATAACATGGTAAAAATTGACAAGATAAATAAGCAAATGTCTCCCCTTCGATGGTTACTAATAATACTGTTACGTTTGAAGTAGAACTTGCGCCCACCTGCCTGCTCAATACTCCTAGCTGATACCCATTAAAAGACTCACACTAATGTCACATGGCTTTGGTATGGGCCTCATTAAATCCCACTTCAGCAAAGCATTTAAAAAGCATTCATCCCACCTTTAAGTACTTAACACTACCCATTATGCTTCAGTCATGCACTTGTTCATACGCCTCTCTGGACCAGAGTCCAGTTGTCCAAGGCCAGGGCATGGCCAGGCCCCCGGCTCTGCAGCACTGGGGCTCACTTGATCTTCCCGTGAGCAGAACCAGCTCCCAAAACTTACCTTACAGCAACTTTAAAATCCATGTAGAATACTCTAAAATCTTCACTGAACAATACTCTCTTTTAAAACCACCATTAAATCATACTCTTTGCAATAAATAAAGATTTTTTTTATTTTTTTTTAGAAAATAAAACCCAACTTTGATTCATGTTACTAACCAGTTGCTACAAATGTGCAAAAGGTTGAGACAATTTTATAAAACAACTGGAAGCTAGTCCAGGTAACTCAGCTGAGACCCAAACACACAGATTTCATACACTTAGGATTTGGTTCAGCAAATGGCTCAGAGGAAATGAGCTGTGCAGTAAAAGCAGAAATCCTAACTATATAAAATGTGTGAGAGTGTGCAGTGGCTATTCTCTTAGCTGTGCAAAAGATTGCAATTATAACTAATCTAAAATAACAATAGGTATCACCATGGTTAGTGGAAACAGTGCTAGTGAAACTGAAGAGGAAACAAACCAAGCACCTTCCACTAACATACAGGTTAACATCATGGTTAGATCCCAGTCCTGTGAACCTGTTCCAGTCCTTGTCCGGACGGTTGTGGTGAGCCATCGCAGCAGCTTTACCAGTCAACGCCACCCCACTGCAGCTGTACCTAAAGTGGCCACATGGAGCAAGACTTTGATGTTGGTTGTATCTCTGGATTTAACATTTTAAAACCTTTTGCACATTTTTGTGTGTGTGTGATTTTTTAAATTTTTTTTTAAATTTTTTTTTTTTACATAAAGGGAATTTATTGCATGTGTCTGACAATTTTACAAAACAAAATTACTGGAACATTGACTTATGAAAAAAATAGAAGGCACATTAAAATGACAGCTTTTCAATGAAAGTTGAGCTTCTGTATGGAGAATTCAGTACAATTCTTGGCTTTATTTAAGCAGAGCTCGATAGAGCAGGAGAGAATGGCTCATTTCTCTTTCCTGTTCCATGTAGAAGATGAAGTCCCTGAGGTTTATGCGAGTAATTTTCTGTCGTGCATACTGTCGGGATGACGGAGTGCCCAAACCAGCCTGACCTCCACTAGACATACCGAGACCCTGCAAACAGAACACAGCAAAGTCAAAAGTCCTGCAACAGCAAAGAGTTTCTTTGTATTCTCAGGTTTACAGCTACTGACTGCTGGATCATTTGAAACATTTTAAACAGATTGAGTTTAATTCTGAAAATATTACATGAGATTTTATTTTCTTTTTTTTTCCTATTCTTCTGAGTCTCACCAAGTTATCCTGAGTAAAGAAACTCAATTGAAAACACATGAGTTTTCATTTTTAAAATTGAAAACACACAAGACCTTGGTTCATTTACAACTGGGGATAAGTATGTCTGGCTAATTCTCCTGCTATTCTCATGTTAACCATAGACTTATTTGATCAGTTTAATTTCAGGAATGTATTTAGGACAAAACTATTTGCAGCAGATAAAGCCATCTT